GCGGAGGGGGGGGGGGGGATATTCAATTTTTTTCGCCATCTTTCTTTTTGTCTCTGTCACTATCCTCACCCAATACTCCCTTTTGTCCTCGTTGGCATTTTTTTTCGTCTTCTCTTGCACTTTTTCAGATAGAACCCCTCGAGCGCTGAATAAATTTCCACGAATCTCGATGCGAAACGAAAAAGTCAGACGGGTATAGAATTGAGTTTGTATTTTCGTGGAGCGATCGGGCAGCAATTTAATGCAATTGTGCGAGGGGACTTTGGGGAATTGATGTGCCATCGAATTTAGATTTTAGAATGCATGATTTTTTTTATACTGTTGGAAAATTACTCTTGAACTTTGAAGTAGACAATCTTGAAATTTTTAAGGACAAAAGTACATGAAATTTATGTATATTTGATGAATCAGTTAGTTTCTTGAGTACACTGTGAGAATTTTTTTGAAATTTCATGGAAGATATTATAGTAAATCTCATGAGAGTGACATTGAGTCGGATCTAGGGAAAAAATGGTTATGAAATTTCAAGTTTTAAGTAGAATTCACGGAAATTCATGCGTTTTCAGTGCGAGTGAGATGGAAATTTCACAAATTGATTGGATTTTCAGTGGAATATAAATATTGAGATACAAAATGACGTGAATTTTCAATTTTTTCCTGAATTTTACGGATTTTTCTGAATTTCCACAGAATAATTGAACTGAAAATCAAGTATTTTATTGATTTTCAGATCGTTTGAATAGAAAATCAATGGAATAATTGATTTTTCAATGACAAGATTTCCTAAAATTTCAGTGGAACTTGAATACGATAAAAATTCCCGGGATTTGGCACGGAAAATTCAGGTGAAAATTTTTAACAGTGTATTCTAAGGTTTCTCAATTTCCAGGTTCATATGCACGGAGAGAAATTCTTTAGAAAAATTCTAGTGCTGAGAATTGATGTTCTATTCTTACAATGAGTTTGGAAATTCAAGCTTTCATTGCAATAAAAGCCAATTTTTTTATTTTTTAAGGTGAATTAGAAATTTCACGAACGATTTCATGTTAAATTTATTAAGTTCCAACTCACGACATCGAGAATCCAGATGACATTGTGACTGAAATGTTGAGAAATTTCTAACAGTGTATATATTGTTTATTCAATTTTTTGGCAGAAATTTCCTGTAGATTTCATATTTTTTCCCCCAGAATCGAATGTCATGTCAGCCTCCTTAAGGGATAACAGACGGCCACGTTTTCTCGAAATTTTCAACCAAATTTCTTGCTCAAAGTTACCAATATTATTCAAACCCAAAGCACATTGATCTTCATCATCACCTCCTGGAGATTAATGTGCTTTGATTTGTAAAAATATCGATCACTTTCGGCAGGAGATTTGTTCAAAAAATTTTAAAATTGGCGTCATTCTGTTACCCCTTAATATTGAGAGATGTGACATAGTAAATATTTCCAAGTGACATGTTAAGCATTACCGTGGGACATAGTAAGGATTACTATGTACGGCCAGTTGAAAACCCTTTCACTATGTTGCCATACTATTTTCTCCTATGGCCATGGTAATTTTTACTATTCAACCCGTCAGTAGGCGCGCTCTTTTTAGTATCTGACTCGCACTGCCGGGACCTCCCATGGTTGCCTAGCGTTGCGTGAGGAAAATGCTCATAGCGCACCTACACGGAGAGAAATTTTTGATAAAAATTATCCTACCGTTCTATAAAAGTGTATCACGAGTCATCGTTTCCTCATTTCTATCCCTAAATTTAGTAAAAATTAATATATGATGATCAAATTCTATTCTACGTTAGAAAAATTTTATCCTGACAAAAATAAAAATTACCGTGCCGGTAGAGTAAAAATCACTGTACCGGTGGGGTAAAATTTACCAATAACCGTTCTAGAATTTTCGTTGTTATCTACATAAAAATTATTGTACTGGAAGGGTAAAATTTATTATGTGTCAGGATAAAATTTCTCCAACGTAGAATAAAATTTGATCATCATATATTAATTTTTACTAAATTTTGAGACAGAAATGAGGAAACGATGACTTATGATACACTTTTACAGAAAGGTAGGGTAATTTTTATCAAAAATTTCTCTCCGTGTACTGACGGATTAATTCTCTCCGTGTAAGGATCTTTGACAGGTACTATCCTCGTCAAGTGTCAATTTCCAACAACTTGCACATACGTTCGAACCCGACATGACTCAGAATAATGTACACATGACTCCAATAACTGACGTATAAATTCAGAAACTGGTCCAAACCCTCGAACGTCACCATCACTGTGGATTCGCGCCAACTTTCGACCTCGAGGTGACAGAGTTCAGTGCTGCCTCTGAGGGTTATTGATCCGGTACCATCACACCTCCTCACGTGTCTCTGTGGCAATCAAGCGGGCAACAAACTCCGAATCGCCAAACAAGGATGAAAATTATGCCAAACTAAGTTCACGGATTGATTGTCAATTGGGTAATCAGCTAGACCGGAACTCCATTGTTTCCGGTCCTCCGTCTCGGATGTCGGAGGCTCAAGTGTTGACTGGACTAATCATTCTCATTCTTAAACTGAATGAAATTGAATTGATGCAGTCACATTGAGCTCTCTAATTCACTCGTTATTTCAGCGAAAGGAACATCTCTTTAAATTCATCCCGAAATTCGGACAATTATTCAGTGAATAAATTTCTCTGTTTGACATTTTTCTATCAGTCTCAACCATTGGTAATTTCGTTGGAAAATACGCGGAGAGAAATTTTTGGTAAAAATTAGCCTCCTAGAAGGATAAACGTGGATTATTAAAATTTTTCGTCTGATTTCTATTCGGAAATTCGACAAAAAATAATGTTAATTAATAAAATTTATAAAACGTAAAATAAATTTCACCCTTCCGCATGGTAATTTTCGCAGAACAAACCAAAAATTGTCTATATATTTGTCAAAATGTATATATAGACAAAGACAAAAAATATTTATGTGAAGGCTAAAAATTATAGTTATCCTGGTAGGGGGTGGGAGGGCAAAACGGACCAAGGGGGCAAAACGGACCGGGGGGCAAAACGGACCCCTGGGGGCAAAATGGACCCCTAAAAAAAAGTTTTTTTTTTCTCACGAATAAAATTTTCCAAAATTCATCGTTGAATAGGAGGGGTGAGAGTGATGGAGGAGGAGGTGGTGGGCGGTGGGTGATGAAGTTAGACGCCAGATACTATTTTTGAACCAGTTAAACCTCGCAGGAAAGTTTTTTCTTTCAATAATGACACCTTTTTCACTTCGTAATTGACTTTTATAATTTATTATTAGAGGTGAACGTGAAAAGTATACTGCCATTAATGAAAATTGAGAACAACATCATGGTAAGATAACTTCATTCTAATGAATACGAAAATGTCCACGTTCTAATCAAAAGTCTTGGTGAAATTGGATGGAATGATGATGAATAAGAACAATGATGATTAATAACAATAATAAATAACTTCCATATCCCGGGAAGTTAATAATAACAGTGATGATTAATAAAAATAATAAATAATAACAGTGATGATTAATAACAAAAATAAATAATAACAATGATGATGAATAACAATAATGAATAATAACAAATATAAAATATGAGGTTAGTAATAAATAATAAAGTTTTAGTCTGATTCTTTGCACTCGTCACAAAAAAAGTACGTGGGTCCTGCATTTTCATCAATGTTAGCACAGGTACAATGAGCCCAACCGTTGCAACTCTGGCACTGAATCCACTCCCCACCACTGTCATAAAAACGTTTTTCACAATAAATGCATGGAACATTGTCTGCATCATTGGATTTCTTTCTGATTCCCCTCAAACTTGCCCCCCGGTCCGTTTTGCCCCGTTGGTCCGTTTTTCCCCCCCCCCCCTCCCCTAATTATTATAAAATTCATTGAATTATTTTTATTCATCTAACTCAATTAAATTATATCCATCATGCGCATAAAAAATTACGGATGCGCGCGACACTTTTTAGCCTTCCAAACAATAGATTCTACTAAAAGAGAAAGTAGAATGTCTTCGGGTAAAAATACTTCGAGCGCTGTCGGTAACACTCGAGTGTTTCGGCGTATTAACGCGTAAATATCTATATGACGTATTCTCTGACAGTCAATGTCAAGGTTACTGCGTTCGATGCACACTCGAAGGACCGAAAAGACTCGATAAAGAGAAAATACCTAAATTTTTTTGGAGTCAATAATTTTCCTCACGTTCAGATCAATATGATCATTTATTTTCTCTTATTTGGCTGTTTCAATCAAATTTATTACAATCATTATCACATGTTCAATCAA